TCTATCTATCTATCTATCTATCTATCTATCTATCTATCTATCTATCTTCTATCTCTCTATCATCTATCTATCTATTTATCTATCTATAATTTATCTATCTATCTATCTATCTAGCTCTCTATCATCTATCTATCTATTTATCTATCTATCATCTATCTATCTATCTCTCTATCATCTATCTATCTCTCTATCTATCTATCTTCTATCTCTCTATCATCTCTCTATCATCTCTCTATCTATCTATCTATCTATTTATCTATCATCTATCTATCTCTCTCTCTCTATCTATCTATTTATCTATCATCTCTCTCTCTCTCTATCTATCTATCTTCTATCTCTCTATCATCTCTCTCTCTCTCTATCTATCAATCTTCTATATCTCTATCATCTATCTATCTATCATCTATCTATCTATCTATCTCTCTATTTATCTATCATCTATCTCTCTATCTCTCTATCATCTCTCTCTCTCTCTCTCTCTCTCTCTCTCTCTCTCTCTCTCTCTCTATCTTCTTTCCAGAAACTTCCTAGTTTCTACAGACTCTCTCTTAGGACTATCCCATCTTGGTTTCTCGTGACTCACCTTCACAAATAACACCCACAATACCTTTCACTCTGTAATTTAAGTAGGATCCTTGTGAGGAGAAACGCCACTTGGTTGTGGGATGTATGTGTCTTTCAGGCAATAGAGGTCTTCGTTTTGAAGTTGGAGATGCTGTAGAGGATGTAGAGCTGAACGAAGCCACCCCTGGGTACAGGTGGCAGATAGTCCCCAATGCCAGTTCTCCATCTGGATTTTGGTCAAAGGAAGGGCGACCATTCAGGTATGTTGCAGATAAAGTGGGAATCCATATCAAAAGTCTATTGACAAACTCAGGCAAGCTAGGACACAGGGAATGATGCAGTGATATTTCTAGGGCATCATTTGTCACACGCGCCATTAACAACTGGGGTGTTTTGACAGTGTTCTCAGCTGGTGTTGGTCATTCTGGTGATAATAAGACCTTTTGTAGCTCTACAGTCAAATATCGACCAATGTATAAAACCCATGTTTCCTGTAGCTCTAAATCTGCTTTGGAGATAAGTGGTCTTCTCAGTCAAGTCTCCACATCGTCCTGTGCTGTGGCCATGACCTCCTGAGAATTATAAATTGCAAAGGGATTTGTGGACGTGTAGAGGCTGACAAACTGAGACCATGCAGGAGTGATTGCTTTTTCTAGACTCATCAGAATAATCATATGGTTTAAGGGTCAGTTTTTTTTCTTGTCATTTCCATAGTCAGCAAAGCACAAGGGTTGCTGTATGTTGACTCAGTGACCCCGGCCTTGTCTGCTCTCACCTGACTCTGTTCCTCTGTGTTCCAGAGCACGGCTCAGCGGGTTCTTTGTGGCTCCAGAGACAAACAATTACACATTCTGGATCCAGGCAGACAGCCCAGCTTCCTTGCATTTCAGTTGTTCAGAGGAGCCAAGAACTAAGGTACTCACCCTCCTCTGGATTGCCTTTCCTTTGTTCACGGCCCTTTGCCCTGGAAAGAAGAAAGGATTAGAGAGGAAGATTTTCTGTTCTACAGTTGTAAGATACCACTGAAAAGCAATTTGGAGGACTATAATGGTATTGTAAGTCCAGCATTATGTTGTTTTACAATCTTGCTTATTATTCTTATCTCTGTGAAGTATGCACAACTCCAGGCTCTAGATGAGAAAATTGAGGCATTGAAGGATTGTATGGCCTGTTCGGGACCACCTGAATAATAAGAGAAGTATCCACAAATCAAAATCCAATTGGTTTGACTCTCAAACTCAACCCGTGCCTTTTCCACCATGTTTGGGTTAGCATCATGTAGGAAGCTTCTTTTACCAGCCTTGTACTGTTGCCAGAGGTTTCTGTCTCACCCGGTCCCACAGCCATTCAGTCCCAAAGAAAAACACAGAGGCTTATGTTAATTATAAATTGTTTGGCCTATTAGCTCAGTCTTCTTATTAACTCTTATAACTTACATTAACCCATAGTTCTTGTCTGTGTTAACCACGTGGCTTGGTACCTGTTATCAGCGAGGCCTTCTCATTTTGCGTCTTCTATGTCTGGATGACTGCAGATTGAGCCTTTTCTCTCCCCAGAATTCTTCTGTTCTGGATGTCCCACCTATACTTCCTGCCTGGCTACTAGTAGGCCAATCAACGGTTTATTAAAGCAATACAAGTGACAAGTCTTTACAGGATACAAGACCATTGTCCCACAGCATTGTACTTTTAGAAATCAGCCAACACCCACTTGTGCCTTTGACAAAGACTCGTGATGTTCTCAGTATGCTCTCTGAAATCCATTTGCTTGCTGGAGAAAGACACGGGTTTTGATGAGTGTCCCGCGCTTCCGTCTCACCAGCAAGAACCACGCGGTACACATAGGATACTTCTGCAGTAAAGCTTTAATGCCCCTTGGGAGAGCGGGCATCAGCCAACATGGCGGAGACCCAGATAAGATGGAACCCATCCCTTATAAAGGAAACAGACCCTGCTTCGGACGTGTCACTCTTGGATAGGTCCGCTGCTCCCAGTCCCAGGTGATACCTTGAGAGTAGTGGAAAAATACCAACACGTGTGAGCTTTCTAGCTCACCTGGCGGTGCAGCGCCATCTATGGTGGAGAGTGTGGTTGCGGCCTTCTACAGATGAGCTGGAGCCATTCTAGGTCTTTCACGCATTTAATGATATCTTACCACAGCATCACACAGACATAGGGTGTGAGGGAAGAGGCCACAGGACCAAAGTCAGGGGACTAAGTTATAGGAAAAGTGTGGACCACTTGAAAATGTCGCATTGGTAGCTTTTGAAATGCTTGTTATCTGAGAACAAGGATGCATTGAATATTCACGGTACTGAACGTGATTGGCGTATTTGGGCACAGGTAGAAGTGGCCTCTTTTGGAGTTGGCACTGCTGATTGGTTCGATTCTTGGGAGCAGAACGGGAATGAAGGAAACTGGCAACAGAAAACGACTAAGCTGGAACTACGGGGCGGTGCCAAGTACTACTTGGAAGCAGAGCAGCTTGGGATCGCCCCCAGCAGGGGGATGAGAATTGGGGTCCAGATCCACAACACCTGGCTGAATCCTGATGTGGTCAACACATACCTTCTGGAGAAACACCAGATCCGAGCCCGAGCCCAGAGACTTCCAGAAATACAGGTCTGTGTGCCATGAAAATAAGCCATGGGTAGAAAAGAGTCTTCCTCAGTAGAAGGACAGCTGGTTGAGAGTAAGAAAGTCTGAGATGCATTTATGGATATAGGATACAGGGTCATAAATATTTAAATTATTTTCTTGTTTTTATTTTTAAACATTATCGTTTGTTTATTGTATGTAGACATGGGCTCCAAGGCTTGAATATAGGGGTCAGAGCATAGCTTGCAGGGGCTGGGTCTTTTCTTCCACCAGGTGGGTTCCTGATACCCAGCATAGCTGGTCAGGTTCACTGTAAGAGTCATCTTGCTTGTCCTATGGGTATATATATATTTTAATACATTCTTATTAAGATTGTCTTTCTTACTGATTTATTTCTGAAATATTTAAAGGTTTGGTAGATCTCTAAACTTTTTTAGATTTATTTTATGTGTGATTATCTTGCCTGAATCCATGTCTGTTTACCATGTGTGTGCTTGGTGTCTGTGTGGGACATAAGAGGGTGTGGGTTTCCCTGGAACTGGAGACTGAAGTTACAGATAGTTGTGAACCACTACATGGGTGCTCGGGATTGAACCCAGGTCCTCTGAATGAGTAGCCAGTGCTTAGCTTTCCAGTCTCAGGTCTTTTCTTTGCTGAGAACTTATTCCTCCAAGTACAGATAAGGTCATTTACAAATATACGCATCGCGCGCACACACACACACACACACACACACACACACATACACACACACACACACTCCACCATAGCTTTTTGACCCATTCTGAGCTTATTTACCCATGTGATATGTTTATATGTCTAATCTGTCGTTAATGTGCTCCATGTCTTTTCTGAGAAACTTCCATATACTTTCTGTTGTCGGTTTTTCTATGCAGAAGTGATCAATGTGGACCCTACTTTCCACACTTTCTAGTTTAATAGTAACATGGACATAAAAGAACCACCGAGAAAAGTAGAACAGAGCAAGTGATTCATGAGTCACATCTCAGGACGAAAGGATAATGAGCCCAGACACATCTGCTGGGAGCGGAGTAGACATGGAATGAGCCCCGTGAGAGAATGGCGTGCCATGTGCTGGCTTCTGCCTCTCAGGCCACTTTGTTGAGGCAGCATTTGGTGAGAAGGTCCAAAAATGAGATATACCAAGGCCACCTTTACATTATGTGCTATCGGAAATGCAGCACAAACAAACAGGGGACCCGTCATTCATTTCATTCCCAAAAAAGTTTCATTTGATGGTGACACTGCTTTCCAGAGGTTTCTGGATCATTTATATTTAGAAATCTGAAACTAATAAAATCGAAACGGCATGTGGAGGGGCTGTGCTCTGTTCCTAGACAGACCCTCTGACTCTGGTCCCTGCACATCAGTGAGTTTTGTCCGTCAACTTTTCAGATGTTGAATGTGTCAGCTACAGGAAGCTTTTTTCTTACGTGGGACAATGTGTCTAGCCAGCCAGTTCCTGCAAATGCTACAGCCCAACAGGTGAGAGTCTCCTTCCAATAACAAAGGTGAGCATGGGAGTTTAAGGCCTGAGGTTTGAAAGACTGCCATTTTATTTATTTTAATAGATCCAAGCCACCATTGAGGAGCTGCTTGCAGTAAAATGCCATCTGGAACCCGTTTCAGCTCACATTCTGCTCCGACTTGGATTTGAGCAAGGTGTCTCCTGGGTTGGCCAGCTCTGCTCCTCCTATCTATCACTGTTTTCCTCTTCTTTCTTTAAACATAGGAACAATCCCAGTTTCCTGCCCAGAGTGTTAGTAGAGTCAGATAGAAGCAGGACCCTGGGTCTGGATGGAGTGACCAGTAGAGCAGCTGCGCATACAGGAGGAGATGGTTGGGATGCATGCCAGTCTAAGCAGTCTTCTGGGTACTTCAGTGGAGAGAAACACTGTCCAGAGAGTTTCCTCTAAACGTAGAGAGTAGACATGGCAATGGTAACTTAAAAAAAAATCGTTTAGTTCAAAATCAAAATTCCTATCAATGTTTTTGTGTGTGTGTGCCGATGGAGGTTAAACTGCAAAGCATTGCTGATGCCCACAGGAGCTCTTCAGCCAAGCCATGCTAACATCCTTTTAATTAAAGAAAAGAAAAATTGAGACAAGTTCTCACCAAGTTGTTTAGATCAGCCTTGAACTTGTGACCCTCCTGTACCTGATTCCTGAGTGGCTGGGACTATAAGCATGCACCACCACTCCTAGCTTATACAAGAGAATTAGTATAAAATAATGTAGGCAAGAAATTATTTTTCTCCTTTTATTTATTCTTTTGTTTTTACATCCCAACAAAATTTTTTCTCCTTTCCTCTTCCCAATTCCTCACCCCATTTCCCCTCTACTCCCCCCAACCACTCCTCCTCCACTGTTTCTCTTTAGATATAGGTGGGCCTTCCATGGATATCAGCCAGCTAAGGTATATCAATTTGAAGAAATCATTAAAATATGCTAATGTGCTTCATTGCCCTCCCCAGCCAATGGACAACACATTCTTAAACTATTCTTAAAGTGAACTAAAGTCTTATTGAGGGGCTAGGGAAATGGTTAAGAGTGTTCACTACTCCTGCACAGGACTCAGGCTCAGTTCCCAGCACCCATTCCAGCTCTAGGTGGTGTGACACTCCCCCTTGATGGACACCCATTGTCTCCCACATGCACACGTGCACTCCATACACTTAGGCACACATACAAGTAAAATAAGAAAATAAAGCATTCCTTTTTTTCCATTGACCTTCCTTTTCTCTTGCTTATCATTAGTTTTTCCCATCTTGGCCCACAGAGAAAATGGTATTATTATTCCATGTTTTGTAGTAGCCAGAAAGGATTTCTCATAGCTAGAGCCTTCCAATTGGAGGGTGCTAGACCTCTGGGCTCTTCCCATTTCTCCATAGGCCGAGAGGCCAATGTTACTCTTTTTATCTTGTACACATACTGTCTTGTTTCATGGCTATGCCTATGTTCCTATTTATTCTGATTACATACAGGCCTAGAAGGTTCCAGCTCTGATGGGGTCCTCACCAGTTCAACTGAGCCCTTCTGTGGCAGATTCAGCCTGGGTCAACTTCGACACCTTATTCTTTACCCCTCAGCTGACAAAAATGGCTATCAGCTGGATCAGTACCCATATGTGAGTATCTATCCTCATGTTTCTGGGCTTGGAAGGCTGGGAGGAGATGATGTTGTTTTCTGGGTTCGACACTAAGATGACAAAAACACAAGGAGATGATGAAATTTGCCTGGTGTGTTTTGAGCTGAAGTTTGACATTTCTTAATGACTTCTCTGGGCCCCTACTTGTAACCTAAGAATGTTACTATTAGCAAGAAGGCCTATGGACATTTTTATTTATTTAGATATTTTATTTGCTCTCTACTCTTGAGAAATAGTGCAAATCTTACAGACAGACTCTGGTTTTGAACACTGATTCACATCTGTGTGTTCTTAATATTTTACTTAAGTATGCATCTCTGAAACAGTTAATGTGGTCCAGCGCTCAGTAATATGGTGAAGGTTAATATAGTAAGATGTTTTGCATCAGTGAGGACCCAATTGAGGATAGTTATTATTATCATTATTTCAGTTAATGTAAATAATTAATGAATCAGCTGATATACCTACTCCCCTTTGCATTTACTTAATTTTTAAAAAATTTTATACATGAGTACTGCATTTCCATAAATTTCACCCTACCCTTTCCCCTTCCAACTCTTGTTTTTCCCTATTCCCTCTTAAATTCATATTCTGTTCCTTTAACTATAACACACACACACCCCCCCTGGGGAATAGAGCAGAAGGAAGGCTAGTGCAGATTAAGTGACTCACCGAAGGCCCACAGAGGCCTTGGTTAAAGCAAGCATTTTATAACCGATATACTTTAAAATCCTTATTGCTGAACACAGTGCTAAACTTTGAAAAGTCTCACCGTTGAATATCATTTTCATTTGGCCTCGGAGAAAGCAGCTACTGTGTTTGGCTTAGGGAGTGAAGCATAATGCTCTGTGCTTCCGGATAGACTGAAAGCCCGAGGAAGCAGGACCTAGATTCATGCACAGCGCGCAGCAAGATCTGCAGAGGCAGACTCTTACCCCAAGGTGTCTGAACCGCAACTTCTGGCAGTGTTGAACTGAAGGGCATATTTGGTGTCCACAGCTGTGCACCGCATACAGAAGCCACATAAACAGGACCCTGACGATGACTGTTTCTTTCGTATTTGCCTTCCAAAATGTCACAAAGAATACCACTTGCAACTGGAGTCTCACGGAACCTCACCCTGAGAGGTAGCTATGGTGGGGAGGTGTGGGTGGATTCTGCCCTTCGGGGGTGGATTGCTGTCTTAGAGACCGTGGCCCACTTGAGATATTGAGTATTTCATTTGGATCTCAGATTCTAACTTGAGACGTTGAAATTTTGACCTGACAAAGCAGTTTTGACAAGAGATACGGTTATGGGTATAGAAGGAACCCGACAGGACCCTGGCATCACACTAGGGACAGAACTTTTAAGACATTCTCTGACATGACAGATGGAGAGAATTGAGGCTCAGGGAATCTGCACTTCACTGAAGTGCATTCAGCAAGTGGTTCTGTAATAAAGTGAAGGCACCCTGGTCCGTTGATTCTGTTCCCTGTCCGGACATTTCTCATTGCTCTGCAGTTGTTTTAAAGCTCAATGAGTCAGTATTACAGGAATACCCAGGATGAGGAAAGACTGGCGTGTACTCTATTTAAGATGCACAATTGCTTCGTTATTTGAAAGTGCTGCTGATCCCTAGTGTCACGAATGACTGGCTGACTTGAGCTGTGACTCACCAGTGTTGTAGCTGAAAGTAGGCTGACCCCGGGTGTGGGGGGCTGTCTGGTCCCAGTCTTCAGGAGGAGGCCCGGAGACTTTACCCAGAGGCTCCTCCCGCTCTGCTTTGGCAGCTGGCAGTTCACTTGCATCAACCTCTGGGACACATGTGTGCGTCGCTCTGAGGATCTCCCATCTTCTCTGGCAAACGCACCACTGCTGGTTCATCGGATTGACATCCTTCCTGTGGCCCCGAAGGCAGGCCTGCTCTATCTGGATGAAATCATTCTTGCAGATACAAGCATAACAGGTGACTGTCACATCTGCTGTTCTCTTGGGCCTGCCTGTCAAATGCCTGTCTCAAAGTTCCACACTAGATGTTGCTTTTCTTTTCCGAAGGGGAGACTGGGTGGTTCTTCAATTTGCCTGCTATAGTTTGAAGGCAGATGGGGTTGTTCTTGTGTACATTTCCTTCCATGTCTCTTCAACTAGTTGCTCTTTCTTTCTTTCTTTCTTTCTTTCTTTCTTTCTTTCTTTCTTTCT